AGCAGAGGGGACAGGCTGGGGTGATGCACATCCTCTGGCACCAGCAGCTGTGCACACAATGCTCTTGTTTCCTGATGGGGATGGACAATCAGAGCAGCCCCACAGCACCAATCACCACCAGGAAAAGCCAAGCTCTTGTCACCATCCACAAAGGCACGGGCAGAGTCTGCAGAAAGATTTCCTGCAGCTGAACAAAGCGTGGCCTGACACAGCATTCACTCATCAACCACTGAATGTCATCAGGCAGGGAAAGAATAAAACCCCCAATGAAAATGGCTTGCTTTGATTGTTTGGTTGGAGGCTATTCCTTTCTTCTTCCTTTCAGCATTTATGGAGTCATTTTTCATACAGCATCAGGTTGTCTCACATTTTGCTTTCAAAACATTGGGAAAAGATGTTTTGGTTTTTTTTTTTTTCTATTCAGCTATAATAATTCAGATCCTCCTGACAAAAACACCGAAGCAAAACAAAATTTCAATCCGAAGAGAAACTCTTTTTGATCTCCTTTCAAAGCACAACTCTTCAGATAAAATCTTAGTTCTATACACCATATTAACCACAATTATATGAAGTACAGCTAGATACCATTTGCTAATAGCTGAACAGATTTGGCAGTTATAAGTTTAATGTTTGGAAAACTACTTAAGAAATGCATTTTAGAAGTTGTTGCTTTGAGAAACAAAAAGGTACTGATCCACCTACCTATAAAATCTAATATTAGAAAAGGCTTGGACAGTTTGAAGTTGTTTCTTTGTCCTGAAATGCCTTAGGAAGTTAAAAATGCTAAAGCATTTCTTCAGAACAAACCCCAAAATGTTAAAGCCTCTCACAGAAACACAGAGCACCTCATTCTGGGGTAGGTCCAAGTGGACAGGGTGTTTGTCCAGATGGAAAGTTCTCCTATTTGAGGTTAAAGCATGAATGTCATTTCAAAGCTGACTATGCCACAGTACTTTGATGTTTCTCCTTCTTTCCAGAACTGAGAGATGCTCAGGAATACAAATAAATGAGTTACTGTCAAATAAATTATTTCAACTTCTTGGTATCTCCTGGACCGTTTTTGCCTGGAGTCTTCTGGAAAAAAAGAACTGTTTTGGCTCATGGTTATCTATTTGTAAGATCAGGTAAAGTACAGAGGAGGGAAAAAAGAGCAAAAAGCTATGGACATTCCATTATTTGAGAAGCCATTCTAACATATTCATCACTGTGGTATTTGTCTGGACCAGAAAGAGGAAAAAAAGAAAAATAGGAAAACCAGCAGAGACCTCAGTGAAGGGAAAGAAGGCAGTGGTAGAACTCCTAATGAAAATAGGAGTGGCAGCATGGGTGGTTTAACCATGCATCTTCCATTGCAATCCATGGAAAATTCTATGACAAAATCTTTTAGTTTTCACTTAAAACCTTCACTACTGAATAATGCCTTTCACACAGTCATTCTTGTTTGCTCAAAGCCTCTAGCCCTAAGAAATTGCAAAGGTATTTCTCTAGGCAAGAGAACAGTCTTTGATGTTAAACCATTACTGGATTTAGACATAAAGGAAAAAATGTTTAAAATTTATTTTTCTTCAGATATAAATTTCTGTGTTTCAGTGTGCAACAAAGATTTGTTCTTTCTCTGCTGCTGTAAATTGTCTGAATGAAACATGCAATTTATTCAGACAATCTTATACAAGAGTGTCTTTCTTTAGAGAATCTCAGGCCCCCTTGAAAACCTGATTTCTCTGTGAGTTAAACATTCCTTTACCAAGCAGTGAATGCATGAACAGCAAGGGCTGACAAGACATTTATCAGCATCCTGGTAAGGTTTGCAGGTCAGGATTAATCCTGTTTAGAACTTCACAAGAGAGTTAGATGCAATATCCTTATTTTTGTGAAACACCTTGAAGTTTTCCTGCTGTTCAAGGTGCAGAATAAGACAGAAGTCAGATCACAGCCTGGTGCAGAGCCAGGGAAATCCTTCACCTGAGCTCTGAGAGCTCTCACCAAAGCAAGGAGCCAAAGGGGCTCATTCACCTCAGCTGATCCCAAAGCTAAGGCTCAAACTGGACACTCATGCAGAAGTGTTAGAACAGTGATTTTCTCTCTGCCTCGCTGTGCAGAGATTGAAACATTTCCTTTTCAAGTTAGACCAGCTTCACAGATCTCCCAATGTCATTTGGAGCAGCGTTCGTGCCAGGTGTAGAATTGAATTCAGCAGAAATGAAGTGGCATTTTCTAAAGTACAATATCAAAGAAACCTCTAGTGAGCCCCCACTGGAACTGCAAATGAGTATTTTTGAGGACAGAAATCTATTAGACTGGAAATAAGAACAGTACATCAAAATAAAATTTAAGAAGCTGTTATTTTGTATTTTGATACAAGAACAAGTGCAGGAGCGTTTGTGTAAATCCAAACCCCAAACCAATCCCTCAGCTCCACCTAGAGAGCTTTTCCCAGGTGATTAACCTAGAAATACTCCTTCCACTTTCACAAAACTCTTAAACTGGTGAATCCACGGGACTGAATCAGGAGCTGGGGCAGCTGGTCCAGGCACAGGACGCTGAGATTTTGACACTGAAAGAAGGGATTGGTAACACAGCACACGAACACAGGCTGCCCTGGAGGAGGGAGCTTCTGCCTGCTGGACCTCAGAACCAGCACGCACAGACAAGGAGGAACAATTGTTGTTTCCTCCCCACACAGGACCTGCCCTGTCCATCACAAGTGCACAGGAGGAGATGGGGGCACTGCAGTTTTCTTCCCCAACAGCCTCTCCCTCAGACGAGCTCCCTTAAATAAAGAAAACGCCAAATTCTCTCCAAAAGCAGAGGGCTCAGTCTACAACAACAAACTGCTTCTCAAGCCTCCCTGAGCCAGCTCTTGGGCCTCTCCTGAACAATTTCATGGCATGTGAGACCTGTGGAAAGCAAGGAGAGCCTTGCTGGATTCCCCCTTCCCTGTGACTTCAGCAGAAGGGAGAACAACACACATTAATTGAGTGATGTGTTGAAAACACATTTTTCAACCTCTTCCATAAGCAGTGTTTGGGAACCTGCAGGGACAAACGCCCTGCTTTCCCTCAGCAGGTGACATTTCAGGTGAAGGGGAGTTTCCAAGGACACACACTGAGGGACTGAGTGTGCAGTCTCATTCCCACTGGGTTCCTTTTCCCTTCAGAAACAGATCACTTCTTTCTGTATTAACTGCATTTTCACAGGCTGACCAATTGTGAGGAGTATGAGAGAAGGGAAAGGCACAGCAGTTTATCTCCCAAAATCTCGTGCTTTCCCAGCATACAGACAAGCACTGCACTGATTCACTGCAGGTTTTATGCACATTAATGTACTTTAGTCTTGATTAGAGGCATCAACACGGAGCAAAATGAAAATGTCATTTCTCAGAAAACCTTATTCTTCCTTTATACCCACTCAGAGAACAGCAGCACAACCATTAAACCTCCCCCTGAACACTGCATCATGCTTTCCTAACCACAGCAGGACATCCATTTGTGCCCTTCAAAAACAAGTTACCTTCCTCATCTTGCCTTGAACACCCTACAGCATAATGAGTTATCTTAATTACACGGCTCTCCTTGCACAGGGGGCCAAGAATAGGAAATGCTCTGGCTGAGGCAGCTCTGGAGTTCCTTCCCTGCACATTCCCAGCTGAGTGATGGAGTGGCAGCAGGGCTCAGCTCTGCCTGCTGGCCACTGTGGCCACTGCCTCACCCAAGCCCACAGCCAGCAGTCAGAGGAGGGGGCCAGGGGCAGGCTGAGCCCTTTGGGGGCTGTGTCACACTGCCAAGAGCCACCCGTGAGGTGTCTGGAGG